GCTTCCCTGGTAGCTCAGCTGGTGAAGAATCCACCTATAAGGCAGGAGGCCCCGGTTCAATTCCTGGGTTGGGAAGATCCCCTGGAGAAGGGATGGGTTACCCACTCCAGTATTCTTGGGCTTCCCTGGTAGCTCAGATGGTAAAGAATCTGCCTGCAATGCGGGAGACCTGGGTTTGATCACTGGGTTGGGAACATCCTCTGGAGGAGGGCATGGCAACCCACTCCAGTATTCTTGCCTGGAAAATCCTCATGGACACAGGAGCTTGGCAGGCTGCAGTCCATGGGGTCACAAAGAGTCAGACACGACTGAGCGACTAAGCATAGCACAATATAATATACACTTATATATGTACTTGTGAGTGGATTCTTTGATTATCAACCTTGATATAGGGGAACAAACAATAAAAAATAGAACATATTTCCTTTTTAATTAAAAAAGAAATTCATTCTTCTTCTATGAAATGCTCTTGATATAAGTGTTAGTTGCTCAGTCGTGTCCTACGCTTTGCTACCCCATGAACTATATAGCCCTCCAGGCTCCCCTGTCCATGGAATTTTCCAGGCAAGAATACTGGAGTGGGTGGCCATTCCCTTCTGCAGAGGATCTTCCCAACCCAAGGATTGAAGCTGGGTCTTCTGCATTGCAGGCAGATTCTTTACCATCTGATTGAACATTTTATTAGCTATAAAACTTATAGCATTTTCCTTTGAATTTATCATGATTTATGGTGCTATTTAGCATTTCATAGTTTATCAAATAAATATTTCTAAGAGCACCCAGGATTCATATAAAGACTTATTTCTAAGGGAGAGATTAAAATATAAGTAATCTGCTTTTTGGAACATCTGTTTGCAAAATGCCAATATTATTATAGAAATTCCTGTCCTTTAAAACAAAAATGCCAAATGGAAAAATAGATTTGTGTTAAAACATAAAAGTACTCTAAAAGAGTCATTTTAGTAGTTTTAAACTCTAATTGTACAATAACTTTGGCCTCTCGAGAATGAACTGGCAGACTTGGTTTAAGAGTTTCTTGGCAGAAGCAGAACAAAGTCTTTGTTTCTAAAACAAAGTTTTGGGTTTTGTTTTAGTTTTTTGTTTTTCAGATCACTGATATTAGTTCTGAGAGTTTGTTTCTTTTGCAACCACTCATCTTTCCAAAGGCAAAACAAATTCTAATATTTCTATATCTATAAGATAAAACAGGAATTCTCATCAAATGGTTTTCTTGGGTGAAGAAAAGACACAAAGAACCAGCAAGGATACATTTTGGTGGCAGACAGGAGAAATAAATAATCTAACATTTTCTAAATTATATGACATTGCGTATTAATTCCACAGAATATTAATAAAGTCTCACCCCTTCCCCTTCCTGTGCTCACAGCCACATGCAGAAACACAGAATTTAGTATTTGGACAGTTTTGGGAATTGCTGAGTTTAACAGTGTTAAACAGATTTTTAAACATGCTAGTAAAATGGACATGTAAATTCTAGCCTGTGCTATTATATATTGTGAATTCCCGAGATGGAATACAAATGGCAGCATTTCTCAGTTGTATTAACTATAGGTTCTCCTGGGGATGCCTAGTTACAAAGTGTATAACTCAGATTTGAGGGTCACTGTTAAATTTCCTTCATTCTCATTTTTGCTGTCCATTATCATTTTATTCTTAACTGAATTCTTCTCAACTTTCTGTTTCCCAATATAGAAGTCATTTGAAGGAACTAGCAAACTATTCACTTGTATAAATATCGATGCTTGATTCTTTAGAAATTAAATATTTGAGTCAGCTCTGTCCAGGATTTCTCTTCTTGTTCCTTGTTTCTAGGCTTTGGGGCACTTCTCTGCTCGTTAACATCACTATCGGATGAAATAAGAAAGGAAAGGGAACTAGGACTCAAACCTGCTTTGGAAATGAGTGGGATTCAATTACATCTATGAGATTAGGAGCAATGTACAGATTTTATTTATCCAAATTAACATTTCACACGAATTATTAAAGATTGATGACAGGGGATTTTATATATAAAAATTTAATTTCAGAGTTCTGCTTTATAAGTCAGATATCAAGAACATATATAACAAAGGCAAATCCTATTTAACTAAATGTCAAATGTCTTCAAAGGAAGGGAGCTTACTTTTTTTAAATGCCTATTGTGTTGTAGGCACCAACTTAATTATTTTATAGAGGTTATATCATTAATTTGAGCTGTGGTGTTAGAGAAGATGCTTGAGAGTCCCTTGGGCTGCAAGGAGATCAAACCAGTCGATCCTAAAGGAAATCAGTCCTTAATATTCATTGGAAGGACTGATGCTGAAGCTGAAACTCCAATACTTTGGCCACTTGATGTGAAGAACTGACTCTTTGGAAAAGACCCTGATGCTGGGAAAGATTGAAGGCAGGAGGGAAAGGGGAGGGCAGAGGATGAGATGGTTGGATGGCATCACTGCCATGTCGATGGACATGAGTTTGAGCAAGCTCTGGGCGTTGGTGATGGACAGGGAGGTCTGGCGTTCTGCAGTCATGGAGTTGCAAAGAGTTAGACATGACTGAGTGACTGAACTGAACTGTTATCATTAATTCTTGCAATCCAGTCATAAGTAAATGTTATTTTCTCCAAGTTATACATGAGGAAGCCAAGACTAAATAAGAGTTCACTCAATAAATAGTTGATTTATAAACCCGAGTCCAACCCTTTTTGACATTAGCAAAATTCATGCTGTCATTTAGCATTATTCATTAGCAGTATGCATGCTGTCATTTTGCTTTGAGAGTGAGAATTCTTCATTTTGTGTCTTCCATAGCATCAAGTACAATACCTGGAATGCAGTATGCACATGATAAATATTTAAAAAATAAGTCAAATGTCATTTAATTGTGTGTGTTCAGTGTCCGACTCTTTGTGACCCCATGGCCTGTAGCCCATCAGGCTCCTCTGTCTATGGAATTCTCCAGGCAAGCATATGAGTGGGTTGCCATTTCCTGCTCCAGGGAATCTTCCCAGGGATTGAAACTAAGTCTTCTGCTTCTCCTGGATTGGCAGGTGGGTTCTGCACCACCTGAGAAGCCCCATCATTTAATAAGTGCAGGGCAATTTTTCCAAAAGGAAATTCTTTTTTAAATACCAAGGTCAAAGATGATCTTCTGCCTATACACTTTATTTGGTAGAAGTCAGTGTGTGTGTGTGTGTATTAATCACTCAGTTGTGTCCAACTCTTGCGACCCCATGGACTGTAGTCTGCCAGGCTCCTCTGTCCATGGAATTCTCCAGGCAAGAATTCTGGAGTGGGTTGCCATTCCCTTTTCCAAAAGTCAGTATATGGGTAAGAAAAAAGATAGTTGAAGTGGTTTTTTTCATAAACACTCATACAGTTATGACAATTTGTAAAATAGAATGCTCTTTGATAGAGTCCACCAGTGAAGTTTGTTAGCACTATGAAAAATGTATTCAAAATTTTCACTTGAAGAATGTGCTAATATTAGGATCATTAACAGAAATTATGAAAAGTGGCATAAAAGAATTTTTAAGTGGTATTTAAATAAAGTGCAGAGACATTGTTCTGGACAACTGGGGAATTCAACCCTTTCATTTTCTTTCAGTGAAATAGTGGTTAGAAGGTCACAGAATATCCGTGGTTACATCTCTTTTTACACCTGTGCACAACAAGATCTTACATCACATTAATTCTTTTCAAATTCTATACTTCCCTGTGAGCCACTATAAGATTTGAAAAAATGTGCTGGGAAGTAATACTCTCCTTTATTTAAATTTTAATATATATGTCAAGAGAAGCCATAGTTTCAAAGAGATTGGCAGGTTTTCCTACTGTTTGATATAAAGTATCTGCAATGTTTTGATAAGTAGCTCTGAATAATAGCTTAATAGAAGATAATTCTTTAACATCCAGTTGTCTATCTCCCCAAAACTAGTTTGAATTTCCTCACATAAGCCTATTTTTTCCAAATATTTAATCTTCTGATTATATACAGTAACTAAAATTATGTCTTGCTACTTTTTGTGCTTTAGAAACATGATTTCCTTTTCTAGTCCTGGATCATTCAGTCCTGGGGCAGTTTTTACACCTTAACAGGTATGAAGTTCAAGCCTTGAGATCTGTCGCTATAAGGACCTATCGGACAGTACGTGATTTGCTAATCATTTCTGAAGTACCCTCTGTTCCCCTTGGGCTGTCCTGCTGTCTCTCCTGCAGACACGAACACACAGGCATGTTCCCTTTTCTTACCCTTGTTCTCCCCTCCTCCCATTCAGTCACTCTTTTTGTTTTTGTTTCCTAATTATGGCCCATACCCCTATGGCATGTGGGACCTTAGTTGCCCGACCAGGGATTGAACCCACACCCCACGCATTGGACGGTGGAGTCTTGGCCACTAGACTGCCAGGGAATTTCCTCAGTCACTCTTATTTCCTTACATCCAGGAAATATTTCCTGGTCACTCACTCTGTGCCAGTCCATGTGGGTACGAATGAATGAAACAGAGCTTGTCATCATGGGAATTCATTCTAGCAGAGAAAGTAGAAGTTAAGAAGGAATAGATAAAATGCTTGGGTTGGGACCAGTGCTGTGAAGTTCATAAAAGGGCCTCAGGCTTGGCTTTTATTCTACCAGTAAGTTTTGGGCAGAGTCTTGGTGAAACAGCGGGAGATAGTGGACAGGGAAGCCTGGCGTGCTGTAGTCAATGAGGTTGCAAAGAGCCAGACACAACTGAGAGACCGAACAATGAACAGCGGTGAGACAGGACTGATTTCAAGGCATAACCATGGGCAGGACAGACAGGAGACAAGCAAGAAAGGAAACCCCCTAAAAGTGAAATCCATTGAGAAGGGTCTAGACTGTGGTGTGGCTGTGGGGATGAGAGAGGACCTGATGAAAACCCAGCTCTTGTTTCAAGGCCCAGCACACATCCCACCTTCAGTGTATCTTCCCGGCAGGTCTCGAGGCCCTGCCTTTCCTTGGAGCACTAAAAGAACTCACCTCACAATTTTGTACCTCTTGGTAGTCTCTCTGAGATGATCCCCCATTTCAGGCTTTCCTTCCCAGTCTTTAAGCATCTTTAACGGCAGCTGACACATCATGGACATTTGTTGTGTCCTCCAAAGAGTTAAGGAATTAGAGTTCTCAACTGCGGCCATCCAGTAGAAGGGCCTGGAGAGCTCATAAGGTATATCCATCGCTGGGCCCCACCTTGGGCAAATTCGATCACATCCCTGGAGTGGAGTCTGGATACTGGGATTTGTTTAAAAGCTCCTCAGGCTATTCTAATGGGCAACCAGATGAGAATGACTGTTACAGACATCTATTCATAGAAATCGCTACCTTGCAGAAGTCAGCAGCCAGCTCTTCACCCCCTTCCCCTCTCTTCACCTCCTCTTCTTCCTCACCTCCCTCTTTCTTCCCACAAAGAGTAGGCCCGTCTAGCTGAGGATTTGTGCTTGCGAATTATCTGTTTCCGGGTAGACTCTGAGGCTGGCCAGGTGAAGAGGCCTCCAAGGAAACAGCTGAAAGATAAGGGCAGAAGAGGCAAAGGTCTGCTTCTGGGAGACACAGCAGGGAAGGAGCGCAGCAAGCTGAGTCCTGGCTTTCTATAATCCGTCCTCTGGGAGTATGTGGACCTGATTGAAGACAGCGGTGTGGAGAGTCTTCCTAACTGGGAAGGTTGTTTCCTTCTCCCGTGTCTCCCTAGCAAATTAAATATTGAGTAACAATTCACCAGAGCAGCTGAAATGTTCTCTGGTGAGACTTTACAGGTGGGTTTTAACTATTAAGAGATGTTAAACATCCGTTGTCAAGTTTTATCTAATAGAAAAGGTACATTATTAGACCCCAAAGAGCACGGCTACGATTTAACCATCCCTAGCTGTGTATCTCCCACTCCAGTATTCTTGTCTGGAAAATCCCATGGACAGAGGAGCCTGGTGGGCTGCAGTCCATGGGGTCGTGAAGAGTCGGACATGACTGAGCGACTTCACTTTCCCTTTTCACTTTCATGCATTGGAGAAGGAAATAGCAACCCACTCCAGTGTTCTTGTCTTGAGAATCCCAGGGATGGGGGAGCCTGGTGGGCTGCCGTCTATGGGGTCACACAGAGTTGGACACGACTGATGTGACTTAGCAGCAGCAGCAGCTGTATATCTGTGCTGAGTGGCTGGGTCAGAGCCACTATTAGACACCTATGCTCTGATTGCCATATTATGTGACTCACCAGTCACCAGAGGCATCCTCCTTTTTAATCATAGAGAAATAGGTCCTGTCCACCTGAGTCCCCCCTCCAAACATGCACACACAAACACACCAGAGTTTCAGATCATTCTGAACTGACCATGACCTTAAATATTAAAGCATGGAGCTGATTCAGTAATTTGCTTTTCTGAGCATTTTGATTAATAAGTGGTGCTTTTTACACAAAGCTTAATATAGAACTCTTAAGGGAAACAACAAAATTCATTAAAATCATCTCTTATAATATTGAATTTAATTATCTCATATGGTCATGAGGATCACTTGAAAAAGTATGGCAGAGGGTTTTAAGCTCTGAGTGTTTTTTTTGGCAAATGAAGCATCTAGTATTGGAGACTCCAAGGGGCCCCCATCCCGGTTTTGCTTGTGATGTCACCCCTGCACCATGTTCCTGATATCCCCCCAACTCACGGCCCCTCGTGCTCCGCCTCCTGCCTCTTCTCCCCACCCGCCTCACTCTCACAGACTGTAGTCTGGCCACCCTGCACTTTTTAGTACGCCCCCAAAACACACATCATTAAACATGCTGATCCTTCTGTGTGGAACCCCCATCATGGCCACCCCCTCACCAGTTTGAAAAACCTCCTCATTGAATAAGTCCCAACTCCATTGTCCCTGCCTCTGTGGATCCTTCTGCAGTTTCTCAGGATCGAATGAGTTTTCTCTTTTCTCTATTGCCATGAACACTCTCCCCCGCCTTCCGCCGGGTGTGCTATCATGCTCCTCTGGGTGTCTACCCTTTGGACCAGGCCACACGCGCCAAAAGACAGGGCTGTCTTCTTCATAAGTTCATCCCCTAGTGGAGCGTCTGAAGGAAGATACATGTTCAATAAGAGGGAAAAGGAATAAACTGGCTGAAATAAAGCCTGAGGTGTATCTTGTATTGTGTGTTCCTACTTACATAGAAACCATGAATTAATTTATTCTGGCAGTTGAGTGATAAAGCCACTTAGCATTTAAGACAAGCAGTGGGGAGCTCATCAGAATCACTTATGGAATTAAAATCTATCTGCCTACCTGGTCTATCATCTCCGTTTATCTACCTATCTTCCTGTTTATCTATCTATCTATCTATCTGGGCTTCCCAGGTAGCTCAGCAGTAAACAATCCGCCTGCAATGCAGGAGTCACAGGAGACACAGGTTCAATCCCTGGGTCGGGAAGATCCCCTGGAGGAGGGCTTGGCAACCCACTCCAGTATTCTTGCCTGGAGAATCCCCGTGGACAGAGGAGTCTGGTGGGCTACAGTCCATAGGGTTGCAAAGAGTTGGACATGACTGAGTGACAAAGCACACACAGTATAAGAGGAAGAAATCTATCTATTGCCATCCCAGTCTCAATCTAGAATCTCCCATGGGGACAAAGGACAGCTGTATAAAGAATACTTCGTGGGTATACTGCATACTGGTGAGACTCACTGTCTGTTGAAGGGACTTTTAACAAAGCTGCTCAAACGGAGCCAGTTTCACTGCTTTGTGTGTTTTTAATACTTGATTGTTGTCATTATGCAATCACGTTATTAACCAGAATCCTAAAGATCTCGTGCCATTTACAAGAGTGCTCTGATAGATCCTATTGGAGACCTGCTCTCACCTGCAAACAAAGAAGCATCTCTCAGAGAGGCAGTTGTCCAAGAGGGGAGGGGAGTCATGTTCTCTTCATCCTCCCCCTCTGGAGAGCATTCGTGAGGTTCCTTCCATACCTTGACTGAGACTCCCTTGAAACTTCACCCACCCAACTTGCTTTTAGTTTCTCACCTGCTACCTGCCTCTGTTTGCTTTTCATATATTTGGGTGTGACTTTCTTAGCAATGGAAATTGGCAACCATCTATTTTTACAAGCAACTTAATTTAGGGCATTTTAAATAAGGGTATCCCCTTATTAAGGGTTTCTCTAATGGCTCAGTGGTCAAGAATCCGCCCACCAATTCAGGAGATGCAGGTTTGATCCTTGGGTCAGGAAGAGCCCCTGGAGAAGGAAATGGCAACCCACTCCAGTATCTTGCCTGGGAAATTCCATGGACAGAGGAGCCTGGTGGCTAGAGTCCATGGGGCCAAGAAAGAGTCAGACATGACTTAGCGACTAAACAACAACCACATCCCCTTATTAAAGGAAAGATGGCCAGTCTTTACCTATGAGAATGGCCAGCATGGTTCAAGAGCAAAAATATCTTAAGTGTCCCCTGTGAGACTTGTATTTTCACAGTACCCATGATGCTTGTCTGTGGTGTTTACAGAACAGATGTCAGTAGGTGGAGCCAACCCCTTTGCTCAAACAATAAGCATTTTACAACACTCATTAACCTAAGGATCAGTCTTTTAACTTAAGGAAGTTCAAATACATTTGTTTAAATAATGGTGTGACTATGACACACCATTGGCCTAGTTGAAAAAGGCCAGAAAGTTGAAGACAAAAGTCAGCTTTGCCTTTAAAAATCCAGACTTTGTAAAGAACCAGGAGATCTGTGGCATACATTTAGAATGAAGCACCACCAGTAACTTAAACTTCCTGGCTTGCGTCAGTTTTCATCACAACTCTAATCTTCTCTAAACGGAGGTGTCCTTTTTGCTGACAGTCATGGGGCTTTGTCCCTAGCAGTTCCAAAGAAGGTTTTCATGGACCTCCAAAAGTACAAAACTCCTAATGTACTTCTGGGTCCTTGGGTAATTTTAAAAGAAAATTGAGTCCCACAGAACTTTTTTTTTTAAACACAAACTGAGAAGTAAGTGATTTTTTTTGGAATACTGTACATGTTTCAATAATATCCCTTTCATCTTCAAAAATGCTAACAAATATAGTACATTTCTCACAGTTCTCCAGTGAATTATGTAAACATTTAAAGTGATCAGTTGTACTTTTACAGATCTGAAACTAAGGCAAAGAAGTGTATTCAGTATTTATTTTCAGAGATCAGCCTCATGCATGGCTTAACTGCACCACGGGAAAAGTTGTATTGACATATAAAAAGCATGTCTTGTTGAGGATATGCTTGGCCATTTGCCAACTCATGAGGCCTGGGCCATGCCAAATCTGATTCCCATTGACTTTTATGCAGAAGGAAAGCCAAACACAATTTACCCTTTGGGTTGCATACAATATTGTTTTTCAGGGAAATGTGGTTATATTTGTCCTGGCCACAGAGGCTGTCTCAGGGGAGGACAGACAAATGGCTTTGGTCACAGTGTCCATGAAACTGTCTGTACTTGGATATGCAATCGGGTGATTGGAGACTGGAAATCAGCCGGAAATTCCAGTAGAAGTTCATGAATGAGGGGTCCATGTGTATGAAGGGCATGTGTTTATATGGCAGGGGAGCAGACTTGGGGGGGCAGTATGAACCCCCAGGGAAAGGGCAAGAGTATAACAAATAAGCAGCCCTAACATTTGCAGAGAGATTGGGTGTGGAGGTCCAGTTCTGGAGTAGGGACTGGAGTATGGGTAGGGGATTCGGGCAAATTAGAGAGAAAAACCAAAGCAGATGCTAGTTTATGAAGCAGGTCAGCAGAAGACATTGGGGAAGGTGGCACAGGTTCGATTCTGGCTTATTCAACAAGAAAAACCTCGGTGATCAGGGCTGAGTTCCCACACACCCCCAGTCCCCTCGGGATTGGGGCTGGAAGGGCATTTTGTTACCACAGTTGCATCCTCCCTGGAACAGCACAGGACTCAGCAGCAATGAGGGTGCTCACCCACCACCAACTCTCAGGTTTATATGTTGCATGAGAATCATTCTTATATTTGCAACTAAGCGCATCACACTTTCCTGTCTTATCCAGTTGAACATACTCTACTATTTGGAGTCGTGGAAAGAAACTAGACTTGGAGTCAGAAAAGGAGGATATGTTTCCTGACTGAGTCTCTCCCACAGCCTGTCATGGCGTGTTGGGCACATCCACGAGCTCACCTTCCTCATTGAAATACCGGGTTAATTACAC